CCCCCACCAGTAGTGAGCAGCCTGGGAATTCATAGGGTTAGTGAGGAGAAGAAACACTTTCTTAACATTAACTAATGAATTATAATAACAAAATTACAGGTAAAGATGTAGGTTAGGTCTGATGTAACTGATGGGCAATTCAGTTCACACACTCGCTGTTTTTAGGCACACAAACTCCCCTCCTTAGGTGGAAGGGAGGAGGAAGTGAAGGTAATACCAGCATTTTCTGCTACTCGAGTCCCTGTGTAAAAAAAAGTAACGGTCACGCCGCTAGAAAAAGCACCTCTCCAAACTGACTGCAGCATTGCCCTGAACAGGCCAAAAAAGATCAAAGTGCCTGGTGTTCAGAGAACCTCTCCCCACACCATCTCCCCCCTCTAGGCACTTTAAAAAAAAATAATAATAACTTCTTTTTTTAAACACACTCTCAGCATGAACTGGAGAAATCAGCAAAGCGGAGTCTTGCCACCGCTCAGTGCTGACCACACAGATGTGTCTCTCAGTGGGGCAGTGGCTCTGCTCACCCAGAAGCAGGAAGCCAAGTAACCATTCTGCCCTGGCTTTGCATCCCTTTGTGCAAGTCTCCTTTGGCAGACTTGGTGAAAAAGTCCAGGAGATTTGAGGAAGGTAAAGGCAGCTTTTAAAATAATAATAATAATAATCAAAATAAGAAGTCCCTCCTCACATTGCACCCAATGCACTCCACAGCTCTAGAGCCAGGAAGCACACCCCATGCAGGGTAGTCTGGAAATAATACTAGGGGGTCAGAGGGGAAAGAATTGTGTTGCCAAAAACTGATTATTTGACAGTGGGATGCAGCAGAGAATAGACATTTAAAGCCCATTTTCTTGTAGCACTACCAGTATTCACTGTAAAGGAAGAGTCATCAGATCAACTGTCTGCTGTTGCAATGAGAAAACTAGCTGAAAATGTCCTTCATCTGAAAGGCCACGCGGCCACAACAGGATCATCCATCTTTACTTTAAAAATCCCTCAGGATGGAGGGTTTATATGTGCTCTGCCTGGTGGCATCGGGAACCTGGAGGTTTTTGACTCTCTTTTAAATAAGCAACTGTTACATCCCCTCCAGCTAAATCCCAACACTGCATCCTCAGTGTCCATGAGGAGACCTTTTGGAAAGGCAGAGTGTAAACTCCTGCCAAAGCCGGAGGGGGAGGGAAAAGGGGAGATATGCTGCTGGTTGTCTGAAACCCCCTTGGCACATCTTTGGTTACGGGTTGAAAAAGGAAGTGGTGGAAGGTTTGGCCACCTGATTCTTTAAGATGATGTTAACCCAGGAGAGAAGGGGAAGAAGGGGATGGGACTATGGTTAATCCGACCATTCGTCCTCATCGAACTCAGAAGAGTCATCCTCAGAGTCGCTGTACTCCACAGCGATGCGGCGCGACAGGATCGTTGCCACATCATTGCCCACAACGTCCCGCTTCTCCTGTTCCCGCTGCTCCTCCACCTTGCGGAGCTGGAAGCCTGTTGGGAAGAAAGCAATGGAGGGGATCATGCAAAGGTTTTGGTCACACTGAAATCTCCAAAGCAGCCATCCCTTTGACACAATCTTCTGAGTAAGGCAGCCTGTCCTCTGCCAGCAGGTACTGGACACACTGTGGGATAACGCTGATGGTGAATGACAGCCCAGACAGGCTGGGTGGGCAGATGGAATGGGAAGAGAGTCGTTTCCGTGCTCCTCTGAGGGGTCACACCACTGCTGCTCCGACCACTTGCAAACTTGGACCACAGCAATTCCAGCACTGCTGTCTCCAAAGGTGCAGGCAGAGGTGTAACACCTCGTGAGGTTGTCATCAGGGTGGGCAGACAATGAGGGACCACAAGGGACAGGTTCTCAAGCAGCCAGGCAGTCACACCACTGCTCATGAGATGGCTCCCGAGTGTTGGCACTTGGATACTGTGGTCTTTTCCAGAGGTAAAGGAGAAGTTGGTATTGAAATGAAACCTTACCTTGACGAATAGCTGAAAGCAGATCACTCCTGGCATCACTAACTGCAGGCAAGGATGACTTGGGCTTGGAGGTGGAGGTGTCTGAGGGTGGAGGAGGGGGTGGGGGACCATCCAGGACACTAGAAGACAGAGGTGGTGGGCCAGGAGGAGGTGGTGGTGGAGGAGGAGGCGGCGCACTCCCACCGCCCGGCTGCGGCAGCGGAGGTGGGAGCACGCTGGCATATTCGACTGCTGGAGGAGGCGGTG